AAATTAGGAGTTGGTTTTATGGGAAAAAAAACCCAATAAAGTAAAATAGATAAGCCACTGGTTAACATGATTTTTTAAAAAGGAGAAGAAAACCAAATCACTATATCAAAGATGAAAAGGGTAAATATACCACTAATGAAGATGAAATCAAAGCAATTATTAGGAGTTATTTTGCCCAATTATATGCCAATGAATTTAACAATTTAAAATCATTCAAAGAATACTTACAAAATATAAACTGCCTAGATTAACAGAAGAGGAAATAGAATATCCAAATAAACCTATTTTAGAAAAAGAAATTGAACAGGCCATAAATGAGCTTCCTAAGAAAAAAGCATCAGGTCCAGATGGATTTACAAGTGAATTTATTTCATTTTTTATTCATTCATTCATTCATTCATTCATTTTTGGTTAGGCAATGGGGTTAAGTGACTTGCCCAGGGTCACACAGCTAGTAAGCGTTATGTGTCAGAGGCCGGATTTGAAATCAGGTCCTCCTGAATCCAGGGCCGGTGCTCTATCCACTGCGCCACCTAGCTGCCCCTACAAGTGAATTTAAAGATCATTTAAACATTTTACATTTTTTTAGATTTTTACATTCTTTAAATGTAAATATTTAAAGATCAACTAATTCCAACATTAAATGAATTATTTGCAATAATAGGCAAAGAAGGAGTCCTACCAAATTGCTTTTATGAAACAAATATGGTACTAATACCTAAACCAGGAAAAGCAAAAACAAAGAAAGAAAATTATAGATCAAATTCACTAATGAATATGGATGCAAAATGTTAAATAAAATACTATCTAGAAGACTACAACAACATATTGCAAAAATTATACATTGTGACCAAGTGGGAAATTACACCAGGAATGCAGAGATGGTTTAACATAAGGAAAGCTATTAACATAATTGATTATATCAATAACAAAAGTAATAAAAATCATTATTACATCAACAGACGCAGAAACAGCATTTGACAAAATACAATGCTCATTCAGATTTTTTCTTAAAATGATAAGAAGCATCTACCTAAAGCCATCAGTAAACATTATTTGTAACAGGGATAAGCTAGAAGCCTTCTCAATAAGATCAGGAGTGAAACAAGGATGCCCACTGTCACTAATATCATTCAATATTGTATTAGAAATGCTAGCAATAGCAATAAGAGAAGAAAAAGAAATGGAAGGAATCAGAATGGACAATAAGGAAATAAAACTATCTCTTTTCGTAAATGATATGATGAAACCTGGAAAATCCTAGAGCTTCAACTAACAAGCTAGTTGAAACAATAATTTCAGCTAAGTAGCAGATATAAAATAAACCCCACCATCAGCATTTCTATACGTCACCAACAGAACCCCGCAAGAGAGATAGTGATACCCCATTTAAAATAACCGTAGATGGCATAAAATACTTGGGAGTATACCTGCTGAGACAAACCCAGGAACTTTTTGTTGCTGTTCAGTCATTTCAGTTGTGTCCAACCCTTAGTGACCCCATTTGGGGTTTTCTTAGTGAAGGCACTGGAGTGGTTTGCCATTTCTTTCTCCAGTTCATTTTACAGATGAGGAAACTGAGGCAAACAGGGTGAAGTGACTTGCCCAGAGTCACACAACTAGTAAGTGTTTGAGGCTAGATTTGAACTCACAAAGTTGAGTCTTTCTTACTCCAGGCCCAGCACTTTATCCATTGCGCCACCTACCTGTCCTTTAACCCAGGAACTATATGAATATAATTGTAAAATACTTTTTATTCAAATAAAATCAGATTTAAATAATTGGATAAATATTAATTGCTCACGAGTGGGCTGAACCTATATAATAAAGATGACAATCCTACCTAACTAATCTACTTATTCAATGCCATCCCAATTAAATTACCCAAAAATTATTTTATTAAGTTAGAAAATAATAATTAAAAAAACCCAAAATTCATTTGGAAGAACAAAAGGTCAAGAATATCAAGGGAATTAATGGAAAAAAAGGTAAAGGAAGAAGGTTTAGCAGTACCAGATCTTAAGTTATATTATAAGGCAGTAATTATCAAAACTATCTGGTACTGGCTAAGAAATAGAAAGGTGAATCAGTGGAACAGATTAGACATACAATACAAAGTAGTAAATGATCACAGTAACCTTGTGCTTGACAAATGTAATGTTTTAAGCTTTTGGATAAGAATTCACTATTGGGCAAAAATTGTTGGGAAAACTGGAAAGCAGTCTAGCAGAATTTGGGTATAGACCAATATCCTACTCCATTTACCAAGATGAGGTCAACATGGATACATTACCTACATATGAAGGGAGATATAAGTAAATCAGAACATGGAACATATTATCTATCAGGCTTATAGATAGGAGAAGAATTTATGAATAAAAAAGAGATGAGTATTGTGAGATGTAAACTGGATAATTTTGATTACATTAAATTTAAAAGATTTTGTACAAATAAAACCAATGTATCCAGGATTAGATGGAAAGCAGAAAATTGAGAAAAAAATTTTATAGACAGTTTCTTGGATAAAGGTATCATATCTCAAATATATAGAGAACTCTGTCAAATTTATAAGAATGTGAGTCATTCCTCAATTGATACATGGTCAAAGGATATGAACAGGCAGTTTTTGGATGAAGAAATCAAATCAAATACAGTCATATGAAAAAATGTTCTAAATCATTATTGATTAGAGAAATGCAAATTAAAACAAAGTTGAGATATGATCTCACACTTATCAGATTTGCTAAAATGATAGAAGGGGAAAATGACAAATGTTGGAGGGGATATGAAAAAATTGGGACACTAATACACTGTTGGTGGAACTGTGAACTGATCCAACTATTTTGGAGAGTAATCTGGAATCATGCCCAAAAAGTTACAAAACTGTATACTCTTTGATCTAGAAATACCACCATTAGGTCTGTTTCCCAAGGTGATCAGGGAAAAAGGAAAAGAACCTCTATGTTCTAAAATATTTATAGCAGCTGTATTTGTGGTGGCAAAGAACTGGACATTGAGGGAATGCCCATCAATTGGGGAATCACTAAACAAGTTGTGGTACATGACAGTGATAGAATATTACTGTGCTGTAAGAAATGATGAGGAGGTTGATTTTAGAAAAACACAGAAAGACTTGTATGAAATAATGAAGAGTGAAATGAGCAGAAGCAAGAGAACATTGTATACGGTAATAGCAATATTGTTCAAAGAATAACTGTAAACCACTAAGTTATTCTGAGTATCATAAATACTCAAATCAACTACAAAGGACCTATGAAGGAAGATATCTACCTTCAGAGAAAGAACTGATAAATAGAAGTATGCATAGTATGGTTTTGCATATATGTGTATGTGTGTATCTGTGTCAAATAGGGGCTTTCTCTAGTGTGGGGTGGGGAGGAAAAGAGGGAGACAGCTCAAAACTTAAAACGTAACAAAAAAAGGAAAAAGATTTAAAAAAGAAAAAGAAACCTGAAGGAAGTCAGGAAAGTACAGAGGAGGAGATAAGGAGGGAAAGAATTTCAGGGAAGGGGGGCAGCCAGTGAAAATGCTTGGAGTCAGGAGATAGGAGTGTTGTATATGAGGAACAGTAAGAAGGCCAATGTATTCACTTGTGATCCCAATTCACTGAAATCCTGCCTGTTCCCTTCTCTTACCTTTATCCAGGGTGCCCTTGATACGGGTCTGGATTATTATTATTATTTTTTTTTCTTTTTGGTGAGGCGATCGGGGTTAAGTGACTTGCCCAGGGTCACACAGCTAAAAAGTGTTAAGTGTCTGAGGCTGAATTTGAACTCAGGTCCTCCTGACTCCAACCTCTATTCACTGCACTACCTAGCAGCCCCCAGTCCAGGTTATTTTCATAAAGATTTTGTAGAAATGGGAAAGTAAGCATATGAGTTGGTAGTTACGAGTAATGCCTTGATCATTTTTTGGGTAGTAATAAAATCTGTTCTCCCCACCCCGTCCCAAGTATTTGGTATCCTCTTGTTTCACATTTATTGAGAATTAACCCTTCAATGTTCTCAAAATGGTGTGTGCCTACAGTGCATGCCCCATCTGTATTTTCTTGGTTTAGTTCAGCTGTTGTTTTCTTCAATGACACATTTTTACTCTCATGCAGCTCATTGGGGACTGAAATGCTAAAAGTTCAAATGTGATAGCTCCACTTCCATTGGTGGAGAGAACAGTTTATTAAAAGAATTTTGACAGATCCTTTAAAACTTTTTGTCTGTTGTCATCTGTCCAGTTTCATCCTTAAATGCTTAATTGGGTCTCTCACTAAGCTCCATGTCGATGTTTTATGAAGTGATACTACTCATAATCTCAGATCATTTTCCACCGTAAGATTTTACAAAAGACATTATATTTTAAAATAGTGCTGCCCTTCACTGCCATGTGGCAGGGAGATCAAGCATTTGCTGGCTAAAGTGGTTTCTAGATTCTTGTGGCAATTGGTTTACGTCTGTTAAAATTCCTTAGGAAAATGTACTAGTGTCAATATCTCTTCTTTTAGCCAATTTTTGGGGTCAATAGCTTATTTTAAAAAGGGCAGGTTAGAACTGTTTTAATTGCATGCCTTCTTTTTCTTTTAATTCAATACTGATTTTGATTTTTGTCAAAGAAACCAATGGTCTGATTGTAAATGAAAAGCTGATTTAGAAAACAACTCCCACTCCAGCTGTTTTGTCCCAAAGCAGTCATTTCTGGTCTCTTAAACATATCATCCATTTCATTTTTTGTAATGTCATTTAGCAGAATTTCTCAACTAGGGAAAATAAAGCACCAGAAAGTTAAGGGGTTCACAGATCACAGAATGGGAGAATTAATCATCAGGAGTCTGGGATTGTTGGCCCCATGCTTAATCTCCAGGCCCACTCTATAACATTCTAGTTAGCTATTATTCTATTTTGTTGATGGTCTAAAAATTCAAGCCTAAGTAAACCCCAGTCTGGAACCCAAAGATAATGGGAAATTTGTTCACTTGGACCAATACTTACATCATCTTTATCATTCACTGGCACTCCAAGATTGAGCAAGAAGTTAACGATGTCTGTGCATCCTGCTGAGCATGCCCAATGTAATGCGGTCCGGTTATCCTGCACGGGAAAGAGAACTCACAGTACAAACTAAGCCTGCACTTTTTAGATTTACATTCCTTCTTGTGAACTTAACAACAAACACATATTCTGGGATATAATTTTTCTATCTGCATCCCCATCAGGTGGTACATAGTAGGCCTTAATAAATCCTTACTGACTGACACAGTTAAGAGCAAGAAATGAGAATTGTATGTGAAACCATGAACATCTACTGGATAATTTGTTTGTTTTAAGTTTACATTAAATTGAATGCAATAATAACAAAATTGGCCTGTCTCTGTCCCCTTTGGAGCTTTTGGTTTTACTGATGCTTTTTTCTTTATCCCTTCTGTGCATCTCTATTACTTCCCACTAACTCACCTCCCCTAACAGAAGTCCTCTTCTTTATTTTTTAAAATTATTTTTATTTCATTAAATGTTTCCCATTACATGTAAAAGAATTTCTAACAATCATTTTTAAAAATTTTGAATTCCAAATTCTCTACCTGTCACTCATCCTCCCCTCCTTTAGAAGGCAAGCACTTTGATTTTGATTATACATGTGAGGTCAGACAAAACATATTTCCACACTGGCCATGTTGCAAAAGAAAACACAAACAAATTAAAACAATAACAATTTTAATTTAGGAAAAAGTATGCTTTAATCTGCATTCAGAGTTTATTAGTTCTTTCTCTGGAGGTGGAATAGTATTTTTCATCATGGGTCCTTTGGAATTGTCTTGGATCATTGCTTTGATGAGAGTAGCTAAGTTTTTTACAGTTGATCATCATTACAACATTGCTGTTATGGTGTACAATGTTCTCATGGTTCTGCTCACTTCATTTTTCATCAGTTCATATAAATCTTTCCATGTTTTTCTGAAACCACCCTGCTTGTCACTTCTTATAGTACAATAGTATTACTTCACAACAGAAGCCCTCTCTTATAATGAATTAAGTACAGTCAAACAAAACAGGTCTAATGCATTGGCCATGTCCCTCCCATTCTGCACCTCTAGTCCACTACCTCTCTTGTCAAAAGCTAACTGTGCACAAAGCAAAGTGCAAACAGGAGTCCAAAGGCAAGAGAAGAACAATAGCTAATATAAGGATTAGCCAATTTTAACTTTTATAATCAAGAAATGAAGAGCATAGATAAGGAAGCCTTGAATCACCTCCTTTTCAGTAACTGCTTAAAGATGAACACAGGCAAAGCATAGTTTCAGTAATCAGGGAGGGAAGGTTTCAAAGAATACAGGGAGGGAAAGTTGGTAGTCTAAGTTGTTTTCAGCATAACTCCCTAACCCTGCAACCTCAAAACTGTTAAGAAATGTGCTAAATTTATACAATTAAAATTGGGGGAAAATAAGTTGGGAAACACCTTCACATGATGTAAATTTTCCAAAATAATATGGGATGGCCAAAACGGCCTGAAGTTCCCATTCACTCTAACCACCTGCAGGTTATGTGTTATACATCAAAACACAAAAAACCCCAACAGGCTGGCATTTTAAGCATCGGCTCCTCTCTTGTCCATTTAGGGCAGTGACTCAGTCTAAACTCTACATATTCTTTAACAAGTGGAGAATACTGAACAGTACTGAAGTAGAATAAGTAGATGGGGCGGGGGGGGGTGGGGGTGGGCGAAGACCCAGTAGTACATGGGTGGACAGAGGGAAAGGGGCTTCTGTGCCTGAAGAAAAGGGAGTATAGGATAAACCCAGCTGCAGTCCTCTGTATGTGGAGTTTCCACAAGGCATGGATCCCCCGCACCATGTGATCATGAGAACACTCACCCAGAGAACTGGAAGGGATAGGGGAAAGAGCATCAATCAGTTAAACAAGAAGCTCTGGAGTGGGCACAAACAGGGCAATATCATTGTGATTGCACTAAATTAAGTTTAAATTTTAATTCTCTTTTTTGTTCTTACTTGTATCTATCAATAAACATTTATTAAGTGCCTACTATGTGCCACACACTGTGCTAGCTGCTGGGGATACAGATGTAAAAACTGTATACTGGAATGTACCAAAGTACAAAGTCCTGGTAAGTTAAGGGAGTAGAAGAGAAAAGAGGGTGCAGTGGCAAGAATACTGAATTAGAGTCCAAGAACTTGGGTTCAAATTCTGACTTTGCTATTTACTTGCTACCTATACATGGCCTTGGGTACTAAAGTCACTTGACTTTCCCAGCCCTCAGTTTCCTCAGCTATAAAATGAGAAGGTTGGTCTAGATGACCTCTGAGGTTCCTTCTAGCTCTATGATCCTATGCTTTTTTCTTATTCAGCATCAGGAAAACTGGGTATAAAACCCAACTCAAGCACACAAAGCAACAATGAGACTCATAAAGAAAGGACGGATGAATGAATAAGCAATCTAGAAAAGGTGGCATTCCAATGAATAAATATTAGGCTACAAAGGAAATCTAAAAGCGTACACTGAAAAAAAAATAAGAATAAAACCTGTGGGGCTCCCAGAAAGAATAGAAGAGCAGCAAGAATCTCTAGAATATTTCAAAAGAGAAAGAAAATCATTAAAAGAAGAAATTGGGCTAGAAATCAGAGCTCTCCAAGAAAAAAAAACAGTAAGACAAAAAGACAATAGATAACTTAGAACATGTAACAGAGAATCACTCTAAAATAGCTGAGACTATGAACGAGAAAATGACAAATCTGAAATTCAAAAACACAGATGTACATGAGAAAATCTGGTCAAACAGAAGCAAACAGGAACAAACTTGGAAGACAGGATGCCAAGATTTCTTTCCCGCAATTGACAGCTTCCCCTATTATCCTACCTGTATTGATTTTGTTCATGTTAAAAGCTTTATAAATTTTATGCAACTGAAATTATCTGCTGGATGGTTTGTAATCGCCTCTACCCCTTGTTTTGGGAAGAGTTCTTTTCCTAGTCATAGGTGTGAAAGGTACTTGATTTTGTTGTCTTTTAACTTTTTTTCCTGGTGTGACCTTTAATATTTAGGTTGGGTATCCACTTTGAACTTATTGTGCTGTGTGGTGTAAGATGCTGTTCTTAATCTAATACCTGCTAAACTGCTTTCCAGCTTTCCCAGTAGATCTTGTCAAATAGGGAGTCCTTCTACAAATATCTTATGTTGCTGTGTTTATTGAACAATGAGCTACTGAGTTTGTTTCTGGTTCTTCCTTAGCTAATCTGTTCCACTGATCTACTTTTCTTTGTTTTCTCTGCTATCAAACACAGTTATCCCTTCCACATCCTGGGAAATCGGCATAAAATTTTTTGACTCTCCCTTTGTACCAGAGAAGTCATCTGAATTATTGTGATATTAAAAGATAAAATATGTTGATATTATACAATACCACACATATGTTTTATGCATTTCTGAGTTTCTAAACTTTTTCTGCATCATCTGCTGGCCTTCATGTGTCGTCTGTGACTTCCACAAAACTCCCCCAAAATTCCCATTTAATTTCTTATGCTATTCCACATAATAACCCCTTAATATCAAAACCGCAATGGGGAAAGTTGCGACATGGAAGGGATAACTCTAGTTTTAATGAGTGCTTTATAATATAATTTGAAGTCTGGAAATGCTATTCACAAGAGAAAATTTCTTAACCAGAAAAGAGAGATGATAAAAGACTATTTTAATTATATGAAATTTAAAAGTTTTTACCCAAACAAATCAGTGCAGAAAGAAGAGAAATTGTCAATATTTGCCCCAAACATCTGATATTGCCCTGCTTCACCTAGCTACATGCATACCCCAATAGATGGCATATTATTGCCCCATAAGAAATGAAAAAATATGGAATTGAGAGAAATAAGGGAAATGGTGAAGAATGAAGTAAGCAGAAACAGACACTATACACAATGACTACAATACTGTGAACCAAAAGAGGGAAGCAGAAGAAGTCTTTCAGTTGAGACTTCATTTATAGACAAACTACAGGAAGAGGGAGAGGTGCTGAGAAAGGCAGAAAGGCCAGTCTGCCTCCCTGGATTGGTGCCTCACCTTGTCAATCTTGGTGGCAAAGAGGTGGGAGTCTACAGTTATAACATATTGCATATATTATCAGATGTAGTCACTTTTATCGGTTTTGTTGTTGTTACAAAGGGAAAACAAACTTCCTGTTTCCTTCCCTTTTATCACCTAAAAGTGATTAGAAGCCGGAAGAACTAGAATCTAAGGAGGGTGTTTTAGATTGCTTCTTAAATAAATTATGGCATATGAATATAATGGAATATTATTGTGCCATAAGAAATCACAACAGAAACAAATTCAGAGAATCCTATGTGGTATGAACCGAAGCAAAGTGAAGTGCACAGAACGGAGAGGAATTTATATAAGAACAACACTACAAAGAAAGACAACTTAGAACTCTTAACAAAGCAATGGTCAACTAATTCTCAAGAGCATCTCTGATAAAGCATGGTACCCACCTCTTTATGGAGAAGTAATGGACACAAAGTGCAGAAGGATACAGACATTTTTGGATACAGTCACTGTTTTGCTTGACTAAACATATTTGTTAGAAGGGCTCCTTTTTTTTTTTAAACCTTTCCAATTATCTCCATTTTGGGGGGTAAGATTACAGGAGCAGGTAAGCAATAGTGACACCAAAAACAGAGGGCCATTGTGAAAATATTTTTAAATGCATGGAAGGAGAACAGAAGGAAGCACAGACAAGCGGGACAGTTCTGAAAATAAATTGTATAATTTATTTTAGATATATTTTAAAACCACTTATATACCTTGTTATAAGGATTCTTCTTTTTTAACTTTTCCTTATGTCCACTAATTGGGGGGGGGGAAGGATGTAGCAGCTCCAAGAAAGAGAATCATTGTAATTTTTAAAAAATGCACAGAAAACAGAAGTATGGACAAGGAGGGCCGTTTTGAAAAATAAAGTGTTGAATTTATTTTATATACTTAAAAAATTAATGTGTAGATTTATTTTGCTTGACTATACTTGTTACAAAGATTCTTTTTTTTTCCCTTAAACTTTCCTTACCTCCTCTAGGGAGCAGGGTGTAAGAGGGTGCCAAAAAATTAGGCCTCTGGAACATTTTTTAAAATTTATAGATGAAAACAGAAAGAAACACAGACAAGCAGGACAGTTTTGATTGTAAAGTATAGAATTTATTATATACATATTTTAAAAGTGTTTTATGTACTTTAACAGACCTGTGTAGATTAATCTTGTTCAACTATGCTTTTGTTTTTTGGGGTTCTTTTTGGGCTAGGCAAGGGGTTAAGTGACTTGCCCAGGGTCACACAGCTAGTAAGTGTTATGTGTCTGAGGTCACATTTGAACTCAGGTCCTCCTGACTCCAGGGCCAGTGCTCTATCCACTGCTCCACCTAGCTGCCCTCAACTATGCTTTTGTTACAAGGATTCTTTTTTTAACTTTACCTTATCTCCATTTTTTGGGGGGGGTGAGTGCAAGGGAAGAGTGGGTCAGCAGTACTGATGTGAAAAGGAGGGCACTTGCAACATTTTAAAAAATGGACAAATGAGAACAGAAACAAGCAGACAAACGGGGCAGTTTTGAAAGTAAAGTGTAGATTATATACTTACATACTTTAAAAAATCTATCATGTAAATTCATTTTGCTTGACTATGCTTATGTTAGAGGGATTTTCTTTTTTAAACCTTTCCTTATCTCCTTTAATTGGGGGGAGGTGGTTAGCAGAGAAGGAGTGAATAAGCAGTAGTGGTACCAAAAAAAAAAAAAAAAGAGGGCCATTGCAACATTTTTTTTAAAATGCTCAGAAGAGAACAGAAGGAAGCACAGACAAGCAGGACAGTTTTGAAAGTAAGGTACAGAATTTATTTTGTGTATAGATATATATATATTTAAAAGCAAGTGATGTGAAATGAAGATCCATAGTTTCATATAGAATGCTTTTTTTGTAGTCTGTTGTGTTTATGGAAATGTACTTTCTTGGTGTTTACGTTCAGAATTTTTAAAAAAGATAATTTTTTTAAAAGAAGAGAAAGGAGACACCACTGCACAGATCCTTGTCCCTGTCCTAGCACCTTACAGAGATTAACAATGGAGGTCTCCTTGTCCTGTCGACATCTCTCCTGTTCTGATACAGCCTGTAGAGGCAGCACCTGCTCTGGGCTTCATCACCACAAAAATCCATTTGGGCGAGGCCCACTGCAGCTAAGAATGGATTTAGTGAGTGTAGTCCCCATAGCAAAGAGGGGACCAGCAATGAGTAAATACATGCTGCCTGGGAACTAAAGGGCTCCTTCTCCACATGACCCTAGAACAAGGGTTCACGGTGCAAGAAACTTGTTTTGAATATTATTTTTAAAATTGTATTGCAATAGAATTGGTTTTCTTTGTACTTCTATATTTCCTATTTCAGGCATTTAAAAACATAATTCTGAGTGGGGGGAGTCCAGAGGCTTTTCCAAAATGACTGCAGGTGGGGGTCATGACAAAAAAAAAAGAGAAAAAAATCAGGAACCTCTGCCCTAGAGAATTATAGGGAAGATTCTATTGTTCTGTGAAGTTTGGATTCAGTCAAAGGTCCGAACTTGAGCACCTAGAGGGCTCAAGGCTGCAGGTTCCCCACCCCTGATCTAGCTCTTAAGTAAAGAGGGGCTCGGCTGGGGGCCAAACAGTTCATCTCTCTTTCATTTTCCGAAGGAGGTAACATGGTCCACTGAGGGAGTCTCACCTAGGGAGCTAGATTTGAAGTCGGGAAGGCCCTGAGTCCCATCCCTTTTGTCTTCCAAGTCGGGGAGGGGAAGGGTCTTGCCTACGGTTCCATCTAGGGTGCTAGATTTGAAGCCGGGAAGGCCCATGAGGGCCAAACACTCCCACCCTTTTCGTTTTCCAAGTGTGGAAACTGAGGCCCACGGTGGCGAAGGGCTTTGCCCGAGGCCTGAGGGCCTTTCCCTCCCTCTCAGGCCCCACGCCCCCTCCCCCACCCCGGCCTGGAGGCTTCAGCGGCGGGATGCGCACCAGGGCCCTCTAATGACTCTAGCGCTCAAGGCCTCGGTAGAACTCGCGTCTTCGACTTCACTCGCGGTGGAACTACAGGAAGAGAGAGTTGCGGGGGAAGGCGGGCGGGCCGGGCTCCCTCGCTCGGTCCCTCACCTGGTCAATCTTGATGGCCTGGGATTTGTCCGACAGAACCTTTTCCTTCAGCTGCTCCAACTTTCCGTTATAGGCCAGGTTGCAGACTTCCACGTTCGACACGAAGCCCTCCATCTCGACTACTTCGCGAGCTGCCACTTCGTCCCCGCCTCTTACTCTAGGGACCAATAGAAGAACCGCTAAGGCGGGACCCCAGCCACTCAGGACTCTCTACTCTTTCCCCACCTCCAGAGCCCAATCGTCCCCCTCCCCCACCTCCCTCACCCTTGCCTTATCACAATATCCTTCTGGGAGTTGTAGTTCTAGGTAGGCTCCGGGCGGGGGAGCCTTCTTCAATACTCTACCTCAGGGTGTTGGGCTACGAATCCCAGTGTGCCTCGCGGCGCGCAGTCGCAGTGCAGTCTGCGGTATGCACCAACGATGACAGCTGGAGAATGGAGTGGAGGCCTTGGAGCGGCGCCGGAGGCGATGGATGGGTCGGCGAACGAGCTCAGGCTTCTGGGGACACACTCCGAAGCCCAGGAGAGAAACGGGGTGAGTGGTGCCCGAAGGCTAGGTGGGGGGCTCAAGCGGGCACCCCTGGCTGGGTGCTTCGCTGGCCGGCCGGCCAGGTCTCTCTGGTCAGAAGGACGGGCTCGCGGCCAGGGGAGGTGGGGGGAGATGTTCCCAGGGGCCACTTAGGGACGTTGTCCGAGTTAGGAGAGCCCGAATCAGTGAGCCCAGGGGCGGATCCTGGGGGGTCTGGCCGTTGCCAAAGAACTGACACAGGCCCCGCTGTGACGTCATGCAGAGGCCGCGTCGCTATGGACTTGTTCTTGCCCCGCCCCAACGCGGTGACGTCATATTATGGCCATTCCACCTGAGTTTCGGTGGACGTTATATGACGAGCAAGGCATCATGGCAACCGTAGTCCGAGGTTTTAGATGCATCGGTTGAGAGGCCAACCTCATCCTTTTACAGATGGGGAAACTGAGGCTCAGGGAGGTGAAATGACTTGTCCCAGGTTACACATAGGATCCTAGATCCAGAGCCCGTTGTACCCAGTCCCCTCATTTTACAGAGGAGAAAAATGAGCCTCATAGAGGGGAAGTAACGGATTTGAGGTCACACAGAAGAACAAAGGTTTAAAATTGAAGGCCATTTAGCCCCCCCTCATTTTACAAAGAAGGAAAATGAGGCCCAAGAAGGTGATGAGACTTGCCTCAGCTTGCATAAATAGCAAGTGGCAGAGTCATGATTTGAACCTAAGTCTTCCAAATCCAGCCGTCTCCATGACCCCACCAGTGGTTGCCTGCCTCAGTCTGCCACTACATCTGGGCCTGGTGCCAGCTATACTTCATTCATTGGACATCCTCCTAGCCTCCATGCCTCCCTCCCGACCTCCAACTCATACTATCCCCTCTCCAGTTCTGGAACCATAGTAAATCAGCTGTCATTGCTCCAAGAATGGGTGTGTGAATTTACTCCCCAGTGGCACCATTTGCCCTCCCTGTAACTTTTCAAAGCAAAAGATCCCTTTCTGGCCCCCACTCATACGTGTGGTATTTATCTTTTAGAATGTAAGTTCCTTGAGGTCTGGGACTCCTTCTACCAGTGTAAATAGCCAACCCAATCTGCAGCTTCATAGGACAGTAGATTTAAAGCTGGAAGGGCCCTCAGAGGCCATGTAGTCTAATCCCCTCATTTTACAAATGTGGCATTTAAAAAGTTTGAAAGACATAATTTCTGAGCAATTTAATCAATTTGTTAATAATACTAGTTTTTAATAAAAGGCCAGTGGCAGTCCGGAATGCCCCAGGTAATCACAAGGTGGTTGGCTAACTGCTTATATAACCCTTGGAAGGGGGGGGTGTATCAATTCTGATTGATTAACAATGAGAGGGGCTGCTAGATGGCACAGTGGATAGAGCACCAGCTCTGGAGTCAGGAGGAACTAAGTTCAAATCCGGACACGTAACTACTGGCTGTGTGACCCTGGGCAAGTCACTTAACACCAATTGCCTTGCCAAAATAAATAAATAAATAAAATAACCATTGACAAGGGTGTGAGTATTACCATAAGGAGCTGTGAGTGATATCAAATCAAAGAGAGACTATCTCTATACCCAGACCACCCCCAGCCTTTGGCTGTCTATTCAATGAATTTAGCCCCACCCATACCTGAGTAGTAGCACCAGTGGCTTCCCCAGCTGGGTAGGGTCAAAACAGGATTATTAAGAAAGTTAATCCAATCTCATTCCTCCAGAGACTGCACTTTTGAAATGAGCACTTTAGAAAAAGGGGTGGGGTGGGGGGATGACTCTGGATGTCCCCAAATTACTGGTTATTAATAATCACTTATCTCACAGATGAGGAAACTGAGACCCTGGGAGAAGCCGTGACTTTCCCCAAATAGCAGAACCAGCATTCAAATTCAGGTCCTTTGACTCCGAATTTCCTGCTCTTTTGACCAAACCATACTGCCTTGATTATAATCTTAGAGAGTTGCTTGAGGCACTTAGAAGTTAAGTGATTTGCTCAGAGTCACATAGCCACTGTGGGAACCCCGAAAGGATGGTTTTGCCTAAGAGTAGAAGGGCTACTGTGAGCTTTGAGAGTGATAAACGTTTCTTTGTCTTTAGAAGGCTGGTTGAAATTAATGATTTATAATCCTTGCATTAAATCAATCTTGTGACTTACCATGTTTTCCAAAGCTTCTTGGAGATAGCAGAACCAGAGATTTTTCCAAATAAAAGACCTGGTTCTTGGCTGCCCTACAGCATACTCACATGCTTCCCCCCTCCCCCACACCAAACCACATTTTAAACTATTTTAGAATTTTTGTGAGTATATGCAAGGTCATGTGGGAGAGAAAGACATTAGCAGCTAAGCAAGATCAATAAAGGCCTCACATAGGAGGTGGCATTTGAGCTCAACCCAAGAAACTAGGGATTCTATGAGGTGGAAGTGAGGAGGGAGTGCCTTCCAGCCCTGGGGAACAGCCTGGACAAAGACAGCAGGATGGGAGATGGAATGGCCTTTGTGAGGAACAGCAAGAAGGCCAGTTTGGCTGGAAAAGAGAGTGAGTGAAGGGGATATAGAATGTATAATCAGCCTGGAACTGGGACTAGATGGACAGATTTGCCTAGGGTCCACCTAAGGGACAGGGCGTGGCTTGATAGTACTATAGCAGGGTCTCTAGGTATATTCCATCTTCAGAGGTTATCACTTGGGCTTTGAGCTGATACTAAGGAACAACTGGAAAACAAAGCCCTATAGATGCAAGAGCTTATCTGAGCTCCCTTCATAGATGGACAGTATGTTTTGTTATGACACATTTATTCCATTTGGAATGTTGGGCTAAGTCTAAATTCTGGATCCTTTAAGCAGAAGTTTTCCTCTGTAAACTACAGCACATATGTGAGAGAAATGATTATTAATAACCAATGATTTGAGAAGATTCAGATTTCCCCCTTTTTCTTTTATCCTCATTTCAAGACCTCTCTGAAGGTTTGAGCTAACCTTCTCCTCCATTCGGACCCCACCCAGGTGGGGGAAGCCACTGTGCTCTACTCAGGTTTGGGTGGGGATAAATTCTTCTAATAAATTGCCCAAGGCTGGGGGTAACTTAGAAGTAACTGACATAATCAAAATTCAGGTCCAGCCCCTCATTGCAATATTCATTCTCTCATTAATTGTTAACCAGAGTTGATTGCCACCCTCAGGAACACCTTTCTTCCAACTGGCATATAAGCAGTCAGCCCCTACGGTGATTGTCTTTGGTTTAAGAGAAAGACCATCCTTTTTATTAATAAACATCCTGGCGTTATTAATAAAATGATTAAATTTCCCAGAAACTGTCTCTCGAACTTTTTAAATATCACATGTGTCCACTTGGGAAATGCCAGTCAATCGGTAAATATTTATTGGGTGCCTACTATGTACTAAATGCTGGGGATACAAAAAGAGGCAAAAGACAGTGCCTGCCCTCAAGGAGCTTACATTCTAATGGGGGACAACTCGCAAACAAATATATACAAAGCAAGCTATATACAGGATCAATAGGAAATAATGGACAGATGGAAGGCATTGGAATTATAAAGGGTTGGGGATGGCTTCCTGTAAAAGATGGAATTTTAGTTGGGACTTAAACCAAGGAGGTCAGTAGGCATAGATGAGAAGGGAGAGCATTCCATACATGGGGGACAGCCAGAGAGAATGTCCAGAGCCTAGAGATGGAGGCTAGTGCTGTTGGATCAAATAGTACATGGTAAGGACTAAGGTGTGAGAAGACTGGAGAGGTGGGAGGGGGCTAGGTAATGAAGGGCTTTGAATGCCAAACAGAGCATTTTTATGATTGCCAAAGAGAGGCAATAGGAAGCCACTGACCTGCACTTTAGGAAAATCTGGAGGATGGATCTAAGTGGAAGAGATGGCAGGCAGACCCACCCACAGGCTATATTTACCCCCTGGAAAGCCCAAAGTAAACCTGAAGGACATTGGCTTGGACTGTCTAGCTTTCTCTGACCTTTGCTTGCTCAGTCACCTGTATTATTTTTATCTGCAGCCTGGAGCCTCAGGCATAATTAGCTTTCGGCAAGCGGGTACCTTCTGTGCCTCTGATGAAAACTGTACGTAAATACAAGCCTAGGCGTTAGGGCTCCTGTGATCCTTATTCAGTGTCGGGTTTGTTGTCCAGCACTGGTGCTAATTCTTTTTCACTTGCTGCTTCCCCCCACAATATTCCTATCACCTTATTTTTTCATTCATTCATTTATGTATTTTGAGATTGGGTCTCTTCCTCTCTCTCAACTGGAAGTCCAGAGTTCTGCAAGGCATCTTTGAACTGCTCCATTTCCTAGTTGGGCTGGTTCACCCTTCCTTAGGCAGCCAGGTGGACTCCAACCCCAGGGGGTTCCCGTGTTGCTTGATTGGATCCCCAATCGGTTTTAGCCCTACTGCAGCTCAGAACTCCAGAGCTCCAGTGATTCAGCAGCTCCTGCCTTCCAAACAGCAGCAAGGATGTGTGCTCCCACAACTGGCCTCCCATTGCCTCTTGGTGAAAATGGGAAGGAACATGGTATTGGAACACTTACCTTCAATCTCAGTGCAGTCACTTAGTTATATGTAAGGTCAACTAACGGATCAAAAATTACCCAGAGTATAAACACTTTTCCGTGACCACTGCTGAATATTTTAATTAAA